CTCCAGTCACATGTTACTAATACACCAGCTTCTCCTGTCTGGAGCCCACGCTGCAAGTACTGTTTTTCCCAGAAATCACAATGTTCATTGGCTTTATTTTGTGAACACCAGACTCCCTCTGCTCCATACCCCAGAAAAATCTCAGGTTACTCTGTTCAAAGCTCAGAAGCTACACAGCAAAGTTGTGAAAGCTGGGATTTGTCTAGAGTCTGCAAACCAGAGCCAAAGTCTTCCTCCAGCTGCACCATATAGCTCTGATACACCCTCCGTCGTCATGGAGGTTATTTTGTAGATCAGAAAAAACAATCATCTCAATCACTGATCTTTTCTTCTGTCCAACAACTGAATCTGAGGCTTCTGGGGCCAATTACGCCTTCCTAAAAATGCACTCTGGATTCAGACAAACTGTTTTCTCTGACACTGTTTCTCACTAGCTTTAAAAAGTGGAAAAACATCAATACAAATAAACTCATTGCTCTCTTTCAAACCTTACCTTGAAATACTCATTTTCTGCAACACCAGCTTGAAATGTTAACTGCTGGCTTAGGCTGTGCTGAGTGCTCTGTTGGTACTCCTGCCTCTTGTCTGTGTTCATCTCCTGATTCCTTTTGCACTGGAGTTCTTTAGCACAGAGATTGCTTTTACCTTTTTTCTCACCTTGGACAGGAACTGCCACCATCAACCTAAACTCTAAGCTGATATAAAGGATCACCAGGAAAAACTGCTTTGTTTATGAATGGCTGGTCTCTTCATGACATGTTGAAGTTCATTGTGCACAGATAGGAAGAATATTACTTGTACAATAGGCATTAAACATCAATCTCAATTTTAATCTCCAATGTTCAAAATTAGAAATTACTGTGAATCATTTGACCTCTTGCTAAAATTCAGGACACCTTAAGAAAAATCTTCTTTAAATGCTTTGGCATAGGGTAAGTCATAAATACCACTTCCAAATAGATCTTTTTCTATGTCTCTCTTTTCAGTTTCTCCTGTCTGGAAAGAAGTATTGATTTTGAAAGACTCAGGCGCCCCAGACTCTGGCCAGATTCTGTTCTCCTTGGCAGGTCTGTAAACCCATAGCAAGTCCACTGACCAAAGCTGAGCCCCAGGAGGAGAAAAGAGTACTTAAAGCTCCTGCTGGTCCCATGCTTTGCTATATTCTCACCTCTCCCCACAAGCCCTTGAAAACTCAGCCCCAGAGTACCTGGCAGTGTCTGCTGTCCTGAGCACTGTGAACAGCAGGTGTTTCCATCAGCTCCCTCGCACTTCCAAGGGGCTGTCAGCAGGAATGGCACAGCAGCTTCAACACTGGGCCTGTCTGATTTGGTAAAGTCACCAGATAGACTCCCTGCTGCCCTACTTATTTTCATGGTGCAGGAATATGAGTTACTGTGGTAAAACTTTCCACTGAGTGGGAGACTCCCAAGCTGGGTCTTAATAAGTTTTCATTTCTTGCTAGCAGGGCCTGGGTGCAGTTTACACAGACTGGCTGATGGGCTCCCACATTGAAACCAGCCAGCCAGTTTGCACAAGTCTCTCCTCCTAAAATATGTGTAATTTATGTGAGCTGATAGAGAGGATAAGAATCAACTGTCTGTTTCCCAGTTAATAAAAAACATACAATGAGAGCAGAACTCTGCCAGCATATCTTGTTTACCCAAAAATGTTTGGCATTGAATGTGAAATCGGAAATGAACTCATTATCTGATTATTTTCATTTTGAAGAATTAACTGCTTTGGGGGAAAGCCTTGTCTTAAACAGTCCCCTTGTATGGATGACTAATTGCAAATACATATCTCTGAAGAACACAGCAAATGCTCGTGACTCCCGGGGCAGGACACAGCACTATCAATTTGGCCAAGAGCATTAGGAGTATCCTCTCACGTGGCTTATTTCAAAACAGAAGGAAAAATACATTTAAGCTAGCAGCATCATGCCCAAGCAGGTGAGAAGAATTTCAAAAGAGGCCGTGCTCTGGAATTCTCATCCAGGAAATACAGATAAGAAGTGCTTAACAATTACTTGCAGTGGATTTGCCCTTTCTCTGCCAAAAATAAAATTATGCAGCAGTATGGATAGTTATAACTTCTGAGAGGTAAAATTGTGTTGAAAACAAGTTCTCTCAGTAATGCAAATGAACATACCTCAGTAAAAATTGAGAAAATTGAATCAAATAACCATTCAGGGCTAATAATGTTTTGGGAAAACTTCCCATTCTAGGATAAAATCCAGGTCACCATGGATTAAGAGAGAATTGAGTTCAAGGCAGTGCATTGGGCTACATCCCCTTGTTTGTCTCCTGCTGTTTCTTTGATTCATTCTCATTTGTTTGATCTCAGCATTCAGTGTTTTTTGGTTAGCCCTCTCTGTAGCTGGTTCAACAGCTGCTGCTCCTTCTAGGGTTGCTGAGTGCCTCCTCTATACTCAAAATCTGTACTTTTCTTACTGAGGACTGGAGTGAATTTTAGAAAGGGTACTGTGGAGCCCTCCACTGTGTGTCAGCACAGTGCAAGTTAAACAAGCATGTGTTCCCCATTGAACATTTGGCTCCTCTTTTCTTATTCCAACTGAAATATTCCCATCCTCACATGCCCTGCAAACCTATCTGCAACAACACCATGTGAACATCTTAAACTCCCCATTCTTCATAGCAACAACTGTGTGATTTTTGGGTTTTTTGCTTGTTTTTTTGTTTGGCTTTTTTTTGGGGTTTTTTTTTTTCTTTTTTTTGCTAGCTCAACAATCCAGAGGCAAAACTAGAGGAAAGCAACAAAAGTCCCAAGATGATTCTGGGCTGCCCAGCAAGCTAACACATCCCTTCACAGGCTTCATGCAGCCCATGCACTCTGTGTAGTGCTGGCAGGGACAGCCCTGGTGCCTTCCCTTCAGCTCAGCCTGTACAAAAAGCAGGCATTCAACAATTAGTCAGTGGAATCATTACACACTTGGTTCTTATCACTCAGGTCAGATCTCTTTACAGAGCAGATCCAGTTAGGAATGAGAAGTTACCCTGTCTGGGCCACCAAAATGCTACAAATCCCATTTGTGATTCTTTCTTAGTCTATGTTCTTCACTAGTTGAAGTGGAAAGGGAGAAACCGTCTCTCCAGAGCAAATCTTTAAACTTCTTAAGGAATTTTAAAGGACAGATCCCACCAACCACAATACTCACTCTCTGTGATCACATGACACAGGAAAATGCACAACTATAGGTAGACTTCTAGAGGAGAAATGATGTATCATTGCAGATACAGACTATAAAACAACATTATGGAAAAAAAAAATTAACTCTGGAAACATTACATTCCCACCAGCAAAGACACACATTCACAGCCTAATGCTGATCTGACAATTTTCATGTACTCTTGCAGCTTTTTCACGTGGCACTCTGTACTCCAGTGCCTGCCTCCTCCTCTCCAGCTGGCCTAAGGCAGCAAAGGGTCACCAGTACTGTTACCTTTCAGTTCCTGGAGGCTCCTTGCTATGGCAAAATGCCACACTTCCTGAGCAACTCTGTCTTTCCCCAGAAGCTGAAGAAATATTCCCTAGTTGAACTGTTTAACTTTCATTTCCTATTTGATGTTGTATCAGCATGAGCAGCACTTTAAAGTCTATTTTGGTGTTTGCTCTTCTTTTTCTTTAAATCTCTGAAAGATCCTACTTTAGATTGAAAGCTAGAAATGATCATGAACTTGATGAGTTCTTTGGTATAGCAAATGTAAGCTTTTTAAAACAAAGAATTTGAGATTTTCTTTCCATTAAACTGTAGAAGGTAATGAGCAGGGAAGTGTAAACAGTTAGCAAATGTGAACGGAACAGAAAAGGCTGCTTGACTCTCTTTTATTCCAAATGAAATGGAACAGAGGAGGAGTAATAACTATCTTAAAAGAATTTGTCACATGTTGTTTGCACTTATCTTTCACATCTTGTTCTTTCACAGCCTATTAGATGCTGGAAGAAAAGCTGCCTTCTTCAACTTCCTAAAGTAGTTCAGACCCAATCTTGTCACCCAAAGCTGCAGTTTTATCTCCTTGAATACTGAAGTTTTCACTGGTTTAGGTGTTTTGGAGTTTTTTAACTGTTTTTAGTATGGGTTCTAAAACAATTTCTAAAAAGTTGAAAGTCATATCTGCTCCCCACATTACCAGAAAATATACAATGGAACTGGTTTCCTTCACTCTTGATGTTGCTGTTCCTGACACCTTTCATCACCTCTAATTGTCTAAGGACTTGTCTCATTAAAGAAATGCAATCAGAATATAATGGCAATCACCTCATCTCCATCACCACTGCTGGTTAAAAAAAGCAGCCTATTGATCAATATTCATGCACAGAGAAGAGCAAACGTACCCTACATTTTCCTGGACACAGTGCCACCGGTAGTGTTTTCCTAGAGTTTTTGAATTTTAAATTGTTTCTCTCAAACTAATTTGCTTTAATCCAATGTTGTATTGAGACTGCTACACTGAGGTGGTCCTGTCACTTGCTCCTTTCACCCATGGAGAACCTGCAGCTGAAGACCCAGCATGGCTTTGGTCGGCGTTGCTCAGAGGCCCTTGGTAACTTCAATGCTCAGCAAACCCATTGATTTATTCCTGACACACATACTGGGTCACGTAGGCACACGCAGTGTGAGACCATTTCCTTCCCCTGCCTAACCCTGGAGCTGAATGGGTGGGGATGTAAACAGCAGGTGGGAGGAGGCTGTGGTCTCCCTGAGGAGTAACTGCTTGGTTGGTCCTGCAGCAGCTGCCATGAAAGACACAGACACAGTCAGCCACGGGGAACTGGGGACTCACTCACTGATGGTTTCAGCTATAATGAAAAAACTGAGTTTGACAAGTTGAGTGACTCAAAACCAAACTGGTCTGTCTACAGGAGGTGTATATTTTCATCTCTAAGTTTTGTACATCTCTGCAGGGGCTTTGGCTTTTCCTAAGTGGTAATGCCAAGAAAATATTCTATTTCATACAAGTGGAGTCATTGAGAAAACTTACCTTCCTGTGCTGCTTCATTGTTAAAAGTTCTGAACCACAATGCTCCTCTGTGAAAGCAGTTTCCCTCTTACCAAAAAGCTGGGTCATCAGAAATACAGACACCTATATAACAAAACAAAACAAAAAATCCATTGAAAGCAGTAGGAATTCAACTTTTAGCATGAAAGAGCTTTGACTTTGGTGCTTTGGGCTGCATCCCTAAGCAAGCTCATTTTCACAGTGTTCTCCCTTCTTTTACAGGTCACAAGAGGCATGGTGCAAACACATCTCCAGGTGGATGCCTGGTCAGTAACAACTGGAACTGTTGGCATCACAGCTTGAATAAAAGAGCAGATCTAGCACATCTACTGCTGCTCCTGTCTGTCTTCAAGGAGTCATGAAGAGGAGGGATAGGATTGTCAGTCCTCTCTGTTAAAGGGCTGATCTACTTTTTACCCCACAGTGTTGTTTTTCATGAAGCTTTGTTCTCAAATATTTGATTTTGCTCTCCTGATAAAAATATGGTCAATGGCATTGTCTGTTAGCACCTGGCATAGTCAGTGGTTTTGTTTGTCAAATTTTTGGGCTAGGGAGAATTGTATGAATCAGCTTTTCCATCAATATAATTTGCCACATCTTCTGGAACCACTTAGTGAGTGTGGGTACATGGGCTGATTTCCACATTGCTGCTATTGTTTTTCAGGTTTCTCTGATTCTTTACTTGTAACGGAATGCCACATGCCTAGAGAATAGGGAGGAGACATTGATCCAAAGATCAGGCACACAAGCCATCTCTCATAAGATTTTTCAAGTTTTTTTCTTCTGATTTTTCCCTGTCTAGTTGCAAGTATGCCATCAATTTTTTAAATTTTTTTTTTTTTTGCACATAGGGTATTTTCTGGTCTTAGTTAACCAGATCCTTGAGGGAGACAGTTTTGTACAAAATACAAAGCAGACACTACTATGACAGCCAAATATATTGTCTCAGAGAAGTAGCAAATAAATAGATCCCATTTGTCTTCAGGTTAATTTGGAAGATGAGGATATGTACCAGAAAACACATCAAGTCCTATTGCAGGCTCTTGGGAAAGTTATGTTATATTAACCCAACTCCATCTGCAGCTCTGGAGCTTGAGAGCAGCAGCAGAAATGGCCAAGCAGCTTCCAGCTGAGTAAGCACACATTTTATATAGCAGCTTGTTTTAATAAAGCATTGTTCTCTCTTATACTGAGGGTCCTAGGGCTGTAAGCAGCACAAAATCAAAAAAGCCTGTGGAAAGTTTAAGACTCAAGCAGAATAATCATATTTATTACTGTTAGAATTTACCAACAATGTTTGCAAAGACACTTAAAATGGAAATCTGCCTGTCTCATGCTGAAGCATCACAAATTAAGCAAAATACCAAGCAACTTTTCAGTCTGACTAGGACATCTGCTCATTCTACCTCCCAGTCCATCTCTGAGGATAGCATTAAATAGTGAATGAATTGAACTTTATTCTGCTGCTGAGGTTTATGGTTAAGGACATATGAAAAAGATTTAAGTATTATTAAGAGAAAAGACCATACACATAATTTTTTTTGTATTTCCACAAGAAACATTAATGAAAAGTTTAAAAACAACTTCTGGAAATATCCACATTCAAGGAATATTGAAACCATATGAGATGTGGGCATTGCCATAAGTCAAGGACACCTCTGAACACATGTAATGGCTATTCTCATTAGCCTTGATGAGATTAATTGCATCAGAGAAGTTCACGAAGGCAAGTCCTATCAGTGGCATTTGTGTTGCACAGATGACATCTGTCATAAACAGTTCAGGTTTGTGAAAGGCTTCTTTTATGAACCTTTAGTATTAGACCAAATGACAACAGGTTTCAGCCTAGGTGGCTGTGGTGACTCAGGCACATTTACAACATTGGCCTAGTCTGTACATCACGTGTTCATTTTTCCTTTCTCCATATCCTTGTGCTACAGGGCGTAAGAGGGTGAAACTCTCAGCTCCTTCCAGTCCCATCCAGTCTGAATTTAGAGCTGCAGTAGAACAATCTGGTTGGTTTCTTGTTCCCAAGATACACCATCTTCTTTTTCTCTCTGTACTTTTTTAAATAGAAAAGATTCTCCCCACGCTTTGCACGGAATTTTGTACATTGGTAATTCTTACCATTTTTAAGCCTATCTGCCAGCTTTTTTCCCCCAAGTGAACTCCTGAAGTGTCAGCATGACTACTCTGCAGAGAAGCCACGGGGAGCTGCACCATGCTGGTTCCAGGAGCCCTCCCACCCAAGCCCTGTCTCTGGCAGAGCAAAGCAGCCCGCGCTGTCTTGCAATGACTGTTCTCTCACCGCTGCCTCCGAGCGTGCGGGCTCCCGGGCCAAACATGAAAATCAACAACCAGCATTTCTCCTGCAGGGCAGATGCAGTGCTAGAACTGTGTGAATAGCACCTCATAGCCACCCTAGCCCAATGTGGGGCCTCCTACCAGATTTTATGAACAGAAGAGTTTTGGGTCTGGCTGATAATTTGGGAAAAAGATGAGAGGGGAAACCCCCAGCACAGCAGGAACTGATGTGAGTGAAACAATAGCTGGAACTCTGACTCATTGCTGAAGCAATGTCCAAACACGAGCATCAGAGGACACACTGTTCTGCAGAAAAAGTCAGCTTCTGTATAAGCTGCATACCAGGAGACCTAAAAAAAAATCTTAATTTTGAAAAAGTTAAAAATCCCTTTTCACATTTTTCAAGAGTGAGATCATTATTCCCCCGGTGGTTTTAGATTTGGTAAATACATTTTGCCAGACTCCAGAAATTTTAACTGGATTTTAGCCTGTTCTTTGCTTTTCTGTTTTCTACAGTGGTAGAATACTGCTCCATAAGCAATATTAACAAGTCTCTGTATTCACTTACCATATAGTAAATTAGTGATTTAAAAGTATTTCCTGACTTAAGCTATACGATCATGCAGAAAGTTCGAAAAGTCTGCTGAGTTCAAGAGCTCTTAGATTTGTTGAAATGCCATAAAGGAATGCTCTGTTTGGGACAGGCAGACAGTCTGATCCTGTGTGCAGTATGATCACAAAGCCAGGGGGAAAACAGAAAAAACTGAGCTCACCTGACTGCCTAAGGCCAATATTTTTTTTTCTTAATCCAGTTCTTGCTCTCACTACCTGAATGAAATCATACTTGGAGAAAGCTTGTCCTTTAGGTCAGAGGTGCAATCACAAGACTGCATTTTCTCCACGGGTTTTGTATTTCAGAGGTTGATGAAATAATTCCTGCCTAAGGTAAACAGGACTCAGTTCAGCTGAATAGAGCAGATTTATCCAAGATTTCAAGTGAACACTAAGAAATGCAAAGCAGTTTAGGCAACAAGCTAAGTTTCAGAGGAAGGAAGATAGTCACTGCAGAGTCCTAAGAATGAAAACACTGAGTCAAACGATTTCAAAGCCAGAATATTTTATATATGATCAGCTTAATAAATGGAAAAATGTGTAAATCTGCTCCTTCTAGAGCATTATAAAATGGCATTACATAGGAGATTGATTTCCAGAGTTCCCAGGAGTATGCACTCCTTTCCTGATGCACACGTCTAAGCACCATTAACACAGTTACCAGGGGGACTATATACATGTCAGTATAAAGTACATGATCAGAACCTTCTGAATTACAACTCCCTAATTAGTGTCCCTGTGTCAATTATCCCATTCAGGATGTCAAATATTTCATGAGGATTAAATTTCAAAATACACAGTCTCTCTGATATATAAAATCCCAAAAGGCTGCTCAAACATATATCAATGTTATTATATCACATACAGCAGGTGAAAGATTAAACAGTCTGCCACACAGATCTACAATTTTAAAGCTACCATGCTTTTGATACTGTCTAATTTGGCTCTGCAGTTGCATCCACAGACTTTTACTTGTGGAGATACATACCGTGCCAAACAGGAGGAAAAAAAAAGGATTCCGGTATTCAGTCAACATTTTCTTTTCCAAAATAGTGCCAGCATTGTAATTCAATACCTAAACTGAACCTCTCTGACCCCTCAATGCAAAAAGAAAGGGCAGAGGAGAGAAGGAGAGGAAGAAGAAAGGGTCTCCACAATGCCAACGTCTGAGAAATCTTTGCTTCGACGCTTTCTCTTCACTGCCAGGAATGTGTGCAGCTGGGATGTGGGCATATCCAATTAGAAGCATTTAGGCTTTCAGATTAAATCAAACTTCCTCGAAGAAATATGGTAACACATTAACATTCAAGTTTTAAAACAAACTTGGCCTCCATCTATTAGAGGAAGTAGATCTCCAGGTGAGCAAAATAACACTGGGCTGATTCTGCAGGGCAGAGGAACACATCTAAATTAAAATCTCCCTGTAGTTCCCAAACTGAAGTGTTTCCAGAATGAACTGCTGAATTAAGACCTAAAATATTTCACACCAAGGACAGTTCTAATGCCTCAAAATTTGACATTTTTTGAAGTTTAATATTTGGTTTAACTTAATGTTTCCCTGTTACTTTTCCACAGATGTCTCAATCAAAAAGTGGTTACATAAAAACGCTCTAATGAGCAAATTTACTGACTGAAACCAGAACAAAGAATCCTAATTGACTATTCAAGCAAATGCACAGAAAGCAACTTTTGAGGTTATAATTGTAAATATTGTGTCAGAAACTCAGCCCTCACAATGACACTCATCTATTTGAGATAGAAGCAAGTACCAGCAAGCCTAATCTGCTCATTGTCATTAGAGCACACAATAAACTACTTATGGACAAGCAACAACCCAAATATTAGTTCCAGAAATAATTAAGAAAATAATTTAAAATATCAAAGGAAAGATAATTGTGTTTGGCTACAAAGAAGCAAAATATAGCAAATAAGTTGTCTATTACAAATAAATACCCAGTCAAGGGTTTCTCGCACTCCATTTCTGCTGTAATTGCATATTGAGATATGTTAAAATAAGAGATTAGGAAGAGTCAAATGTGAAAATTCAATATTCTAAACTGTAGCATCTTTTAAGATCACAGGCCAGACTTGAGAAGAGGAGAAATTTAAAAAAAAAAGTAAATGAAACCAGAATGCCTCAAAATGCCTAGAAGAGCTTTATTCATCCA